GCAGCAGACGTATCACAGGCCAGCAGACGTATCAGAGGTCAGCAGCAGACGTATCAGAGGTCAGCAGCAGACGTATCAGAGGTCAGCAGCAGACGTATCACAGGCCAGCAGACGTATCAGAGGTCAGCAGCAGACGTATCAGAGGTCAGCAGCAGACGTATCAGAGGTCAGCAGCAGACAGGAGACATGGACACAAAGGGAGACGACGCTGTAATTGCTCGTGACGCTCAGACATATCTTCCAGGAGACGATGCAAATTGAAAAGTCAATATTTCGTCACAAAAACCCGGAGGACTCCTGCGACAACCACCGCTGGACGGTATCGCCGCAGAGCCATCATCTCCCGTCTCGTTTCTTAGCAACAGCCACGTATCGACGGCGGGAGTTTTATTTCCTCGCCGGTGTCCCGAGGCCTCAGCAGTCCGAGATTTGTCCCACGCTGCCACTAAAAGCTGGACGTTCTCCCACTGAGGAAAATCTGACCACCAGTATGATTCACTCTGATTCTGGACCCCCACCCGTCCTGCAGGCTCGGGTTTGGACCGGCCTCGGGGGTCTTGGTGGCGCTTTTGTGGTCTGCAATCAGGGAATAATCTGGTCTGTGCTGGCAGGAGTTCAATAAACCTCCACACAGTCCTCACCTTGAAGAAGTACTTTACTCTCACTCACTCACTCACACACACACACACACACACACACACACACACACACACACACACACACACACACACATAAAACTCGAGGTAAGCCTGCCGGTTCGATAAAGGCTGTAAAATGCTCTGAAGGTTTCAGAGCTGCAGACGGCGCTGGGTCCGATGGGACCAGCTGACCTCTGGAACGCCGGCGGGTTGTTGCAGATCCTGCCCGGCAGCAAACAGAACCACGTCTCCAATCCAGGCTGAGAGCCGACGGCAAACACGTTTAAAAATAAACATCATTTAACATGCAGATTTCCACACATCTACCTCGGAGTCACTCATCTGCTTCACAACAACATATTTATCCAATTACAGCCGTTTATTTAGCTTCAGCTTTAATTACACATCTGAAGCATATTTAATTACGCTAATTAAACTTATTTCATTTATTGTTCCTGCAGCAGAAACTCAATCATTAGAAAGAAGTTGGGATGTTATTTTAAAGCAGGGGTGTCCAACCCTGGTCCTGGAGGACCTCCATCCTGCAGGTTTTAGGTGTTTTTCTGCTCCAACACCTGATTTACAGCGGGTAAAATAAGTATTGAACACGTCACCATTTTTCTCAGTAAATATATTGTAGGGGTCACCTCGAGTCAAATTATCAAGGAACTATCTTGGACTCTCAGTCCTCTGATGGGCCTTCTAATGG